GCTGCCGCAGCCCTGCCGGTGCTCGCGCTCCGAATCCGCTCGCGCTCTGCGCTGGCAGCGACGGCTGGTGGTACCACTGCTTGTTCTGGTCCCCCTGCACCGCCTGTACCTGGAGCGCTCCTCGCTCCTTGCATAAACGCCTGTGTGGGCTGCCAGGCATCGGCTTAGCCTGGCGAGATGCTTCCTGAGCTGGCAGCGGAATGCTCCGCAGGGAGAGATTGCGCTAACTGCACATTTTATGAATTTTCTGGGATGACAGTTAATAACGCTTATGTAGCTGGCCAAAGGCTATGTGCAAGCGATTACATAAGTGGCTGCCTGGCAGCAAGCTTGCTTTTCCGAGGGGCTCCTTGAATGTCTCGAAACCCAAGCACGTCTCCCGCAGAGGTGGAGGCACTACCTGGTGCTCAGAGATGTGGAGCGAGTGCAACAAATGGGCCTTTCCTCCCCTCCCCGCCGTGGGAGGGAGGGCGGAACGCCCGTTGTAACGTGGTTTTGCGCTGCGTGGGTCGCTGCAGCTCCGGGCTGCATCCCTGGCCCCGTGATAGGGTGGTGGGGAACAGCCTGCACCTCCTGCCCGAGGCCACCTCGCCGTGCAAGGTGTCTCGACCCGCCTGCGCACGCGCTGTTCTCAATGGGGTGATGTGCCCTTGCCTTGCGCGAGGAGCAACCCCCACGGAGGGCTTCTGCGGCCCAAGTCCTCCTCTCTCCTGGCCTGAGCAATGAGAGCAGTTGCCCCCATGAAGACCTGTCTTGTGCAGAGAGAGCGTGGTCCCGTGGCTTGCTCAATCCTGGTTTTAGCAAAACCTTTTTCTTTTTCCTCCTCTGCTCCTGGCTGAGGAGGTGGAGGAGTACCTGATAGCTAAGGGTTGTGGTTACCTTTTATGTAAACTTCTGTTTAAGCTCATTCCCCGCAAGGCGCTCGGCTCCTGGCTGAGGGAAGCTTAAGCAGGCTTGGTCCTGTATCGGTGAAAGCTGGTCTCTGTCCAGCTCTGTGCATGTGAGGGGCTGGTGTGGGTAAATAAGGGGCTGAATAGCTGCCACAGAATGGGAAATTGCATCTTCACTGCAAGAGAACGTCCTCCCTGATTCCTCTAGCTAAGTCCTGATATTCTGCAGTGAGACCTAAAGAGGAGGAAAAGCCTAGAGTTGCTCCTCAGATCTCTGCTCATCTCCAGCACTTGGGCTCCAAGTCTTCATCACGATACAGGTGGTCCCTGTGAGGCTTAATGTGAAATGGAAATAACAGTGGAGCACTGGTGTCAGGAATGGCCAGAAATATTCCAGGGCTTTACTGAAACCCCTAGATTGGGCTTCAGGTGGCTTCTGCTAGGACAGCAGCTTTGGGACTGTCCTTATGGATAACGTCAATAGGAGAAATGCACCGCAGAGATGGGAGCTGTAGAGCCCAGCTCCCACCCCATGTGCAGAAACTGAATCTGCTTTGGAGGCTGCACTTGCTGCCTTGGTGACAGGGCCACCTGGCTCAGCAGAAGTCGGTGGCGTGGCTTTTCTGGAAGACAGCAGCATGGTGCATGATTTGGCTGCAAGAAATAACTGTCCCTTTCTGCACAATATAACCAGCTCTGAGGCCACACCAATCCATGCAAATACATCCTTGGACATATGCAGACAGCCAAGTGCTTGTTTTGTGTTCGGTGGATATCTGTTGCTTGACACCTCTTCCATTTGGAAGTCCTTGGACATATGCAGACAGCCAAGTGTTGCATTTGGTAGATATCTGTTGCTTGACACCTCTTCCACTTGGAAACTCTCTTACTTCCACACCTGAAAGCTGGGATAAGACTAAAAGCAAAGGAAGAGGAACATGGTGAGAGTGGGTGTAGAGGACAAAATCTCATATTTAGAGTTGCCCTAGAATACAGCAGAGCTGAGGTTTCTTCTAGCGATCCGAAACAGCAGCTGTTTTATTGCGCCTTCCTCCCGGAGGAGCATGATTCAGGTGCTGCTCAGGGAGCTTGTGCTTTCCTGGTCCTGTCCAGAGGAGACTGGCAGCTTTCTGCTCCTTTGGAACTAAAATCAAGATGGTCAGGAGACAGCAAGCCTCTTGGCACTGTTTTGTAACCCATCTTAGTTAAAGCCATCCTATTTCAGACATATGACCACGTTCATGTGAACCTACAAGTAGCTTATTTTTAAGGCTGCCCTATTAAGTAGATTTTACTTAGCAGCATCTGTGGAGAAGCTAGAGTTCTTGTGCACAGATGGGAGAGGGCTGAGGAAGTATCAGGGAGCTGGAATGCAGCTCTGTCTGACTGTGTACATAATCCATAAATAACCATATCTATAGATATATGCACAGCAAGGGGTACAGTGAACACAAGGCAGAACACGAGAGTCCCACATAATGTGGGCAGTTGTATGCAAAGGGGTAAGATCCAGAGAATAAAGAAAGCAGATGTTGTTCAGACTTTATTGGACAAACAGGCTGATAGTGGTTATAAAACAGGTTAATAAGGGTTATAAAACAGGTTATCTTTTGCTTAGTTGCTATTGTCGTCCAGTGGATTCTGGATTCTTTTCAAAATCCTTTATGCTTGCAGGATTGAAACTCTGAAGCCAGCGGCAGCAGCTGAGCATTGATGAGAAGATGGGTTCACACCTAATGTGAACCCTAATGAAGGCTTGTGAGTGGTTTGGGGGTTCTTGGAGGCATTACCACTAAATTAAGTGATATGAAGAACACAATTATCTGCTGCCTTTAAACCTGCTTTATGTCCTGCTATAATTTACTGCAGGATGACACACGCAGTCATGCGGTTGGAGGTTGCTTGGTGTCTCCTCTCCCAGGCCTGGCTCCAGCCGTGCTGAACAGCCAAACATGGCAAATGAATTAAAGCCTTCAGGGCAGGCTTGTTTGCACCAGGCGAGTCAAATACGCAGAGCTGCAAATCATCTAGCGCTGGCTTGGCCGGCACGCTGCAAGCCTCCAGCATGTCAAAACAGCTTTGAAAGCCTGTGGGTTGGAATCCAGAAAGCTGAGCCTGGATAAATAAGCCTGCAGACATCCTGCAGCATGAACTCGATGCTTCTGTGTGCACAAGTTCCTGTTTTAGGTCTGGTGATTTTTCCCTGGGCAGGATGCGACGGGATCCGCCGGAGCAGGCTTGCTGACACAGCGCTCCCCTGACCAGCGTTGTGCTCTGGACGGGCTCTCCAAGCTCCCAAGGTGAACACGCTCCCCCAGGGAGCCTGCCCTAAACGTGGTGTCTCCTTTCTCCTGCAGAACGTGCGGATCGACCCCGGCAGCATTGCCTACAGCATGTGGAAAGACATCCCGGTGCCTTTTTACTTCTCGGTGTACTTCTTCGAGGTGATGAATCCCGAGGAGATCCTGCAGGGAGCGAAGCCGGTTGTGAGTCAACGCGGGCCCTACGTTTACAGGTCAGGTGCTGCTGGCTGGACTCCTGGCCAGCTCCTCGGGGAGGAGGCACGGCGTTGGCGCTCGCAGTGAATGATGCAGTGTTTTGGAGCAATCACAGAGGGTGTTTGGTTGCTCAACTGCTGTTAATGCCAAGGTAGGCCTGCGAGCAGCAGAGCCTGTAAGGTTTGGCAATCCTGGTTTGGGCTGTGGAGCTCAGACCTATGCTGGGAATTTGAGACTTTTGGCTAGCCAAACCTGACCACGTGGTGGTGGGCAATCCTCACCTTCACAGGGGACCTGAGTTCCATCTTAGCTCTTCATTTAACAGTGCAGCTCCAGAGCTGGAGATCTGAGGCTGAAGTCACCTCACCTGATATCAGGCTTCCAAGATGTCTCATCTGAGACCAAGAGTCTGCCTACAGCTAACGCTCCATGTAGGAGAACCAGCGTGGAGCACTAGAACTTGGCCCAGTTATAGCAGGGCTGTGTCTGTTGCCATGGCTGAGGATGGTGGTTGAACCCTCAGATGCCTCTGTAGACCTGGAACCCAAGTGATGGGAGATGCTGAGTTGAATGTGTGAAGTTACCCATAAGTAGCTGTAATCAATGTGTTAACACCTACATATGTAGGAAAGGTTAGCTCAGCAGCCTAAGCAAGCTCATGTGGGAGATTAGTGGGCTAATCCAAAGCTGTTTGAGCAGTGTTGGGGGGAACCTGGCAGTACGTATATGGCCTTGTTTCCCCTGGACTTGCCAGGTCAGCACTAAACCATGTGGCTTCTGTATGTTGTGACCGTGTCCACAGTCACAGGCTTGGAGAAAAAAAAAAAAGGCTTCCCTTACAGTAAATAAGAATGAACAAAGAGGCAAAGCTTATTAGTGTCCTTAAGTTTCTGCTGAGCAAGATTAGTGCCCTTCCCGAACGTGGGCCATAAAATGGAGGCTCCACAATAAAGGACTTTGTTTCTGCTGGTGGGCTGAGCAGTGGCTGCCTGTGGGGCTGGGGACAACCTTGTGCAGGGCTGCCGAGCATCACAGCCCCCTCGAGACCCCTGTGCTGCCCCACATGCAGCAAGGTGGTGCTGCCCGGCAGCGTGCAGGACGTGGCGTGAGTTCTGAAGCTCTGAGGAGAAGGATGGTCCCCATGCAGTGCAGAGCATTGTGCTGTGGCAGCTGCCCTCGACTTGGGAGAGATCAGGGAAATCGGGGCAGATTGGTGTGTGGGCTCATCAGCAGTGCAGGTCTCTTCTTGCTCAGCATTCCTGTGTCTTGAAAGCTGTTCCTGTGTGTCTGACACCTGGGCATCTCTCTGGTGAGACTGAGCTTCTCATCCACCTGGGCATCTCTCTGGTGAGACTGAGCTTCTCATCAAATGCAGATGAAATGCCAGAGGGGTTTCATTCATTCCTGCATCAGCAGTAGATGATTTTTTTGTCTCAAAATAGCCATCATAGAATCATTATGGTTGGAAAAGACCTTCAAGGTCATCAACTCCAACCATCAGCCGAGTTCCAAGATGGGCAGAAATAACCCAGTATCTTCATGAAGTGGTTGAGGGCTTCCTCGCGTTGGAGAGGGTTCCCACGATCTCCTCTCTCTTTGCAGAGAGTTCAGGCATAAAACGAATATCACGTTCCACGACAATGGCACCGTCTCCTTCCTGGAGTACCGGAGGCTCTTCTTCCAGCCGGACTTGTCCGCGGGCAGCGAGGACGACTACATCGTTGTGCCCAACATCCTGCTCATGGTAACCTGCTTCCCAGAGGGGCTCCATCCTCCCTGCTTGCCAGGGGGAGGACGGTGTCCAGTAACACCTTGTACCTTGCTCACTTGTTGGGCTGGAGGCCCGTTAAGCCAAGATGTAGTTTCAGCTTAAATAACACAGTGTGTTGGTTTCTGGTTGTTGGGGATCGTGTTGGGGATCATGTCGTGTTGCAGGTCTGGGGAAATTGTGCATAAAAGCATGAGCTGGTGCTGGTTAGTGGGAAGGCTCAGCGCAACCAAAGTAATCCCTCAAAATTGAGGGGCTGCAAGGTAAGATGAGCAGCAGTGGTGACTTGTGTGTCACCATTTGGGAAGTTCTGCCCCATAACAGTGATTCTTGCAAGGCCTTTCCAAAAGCGAGAGCATGACCAGGGGTGATGTGCAAGGAGGCTGGATGTGAGTCTAATCTTGCCCAAGCCTCCTCTGAAGTGGCGCCTGTGAGCCCACAGTGGCTGTTGCCACTAACCGCGTTATTTTTCCAAATTTAACAAAAATGAGGAATGAGTCATAGTGGTGAATAACTGTTAACAGCTTCCCTAAAGGACTCCTGTAGGACTGCAGAGCAGTGCAGCAGAGGAACCTTGCTGAGCACTGAAGATGTATTGCTGCTTTTTAAAATCTTGTTTATGTGTTTTTAGTTTTTTTCTGAATAAAGGCGTCTCTTGTCTGAGAGGTTTGCTGTCTTCCCCAGGGAGCAGCTGTAATGATGGAAAACCTGCCGAACTTCGTGAAGCTCTTGCTGAGCGGAGCCCTGGCTGGCCTGAAGCAGGAGGCCTTCATGAACCGGACCGTAGGAGAGATCATGTGGGGATATGAGGACCCTCTTATAGAGACAATAAATGTGCTTGTGCCTGGCTTGATCCCTTTCAAGGGAAAATTTGGCTTGTTTGTAGAAGTAAGTGAACTGTTGCTTGGGAACACTGAAATTGCACCGATTCTGCGTGTGGGATCAAGTATCTGGGCGGCCCCCCTCACAAACAGAGCACTCAGGTGCACTTAATGATGGTTGTGTAAATCTTCCATAATTCTCCCTCAGGTAGAAACTTGACAGGTTGGAAACTCTGCCAGACTGTAACAGCTGAAATAAGCAGAGCTCAGCAGTTTACTGCATGTGAGGACCCAGCAAGCTAGGGAACCTGTGGAGGTGCTGACATATTGTAGTGCTGCTGCAAAGAGTGGATTAAAATTTAGTTTCTTCTCCCTGCAGTTCAATGACTCCCACTCGGGACTGTTCACAGTGAATACAGGTGTGCAGGACATCAGCAGAGTTCACATGGTGGATTCTTGGAATGGATTAAGAAAAGTAAGTGTTGGGTAGCAAGTCTCTAATATCGGGCTACTTACAGTGGCCCTAACAGCTTTCAGGTTGTCTAGCTTTAGAGCAGTGAGATTTTTGCCCTGTAGCTTGGCAGGTAGGTTTCTGCAGGGCTTCAACCACCTCAATTCAGGTTGCTAAAAGGCTTGTCATGAACTGTCCATCTCCCCCCATCAGCTGGCTGACCAGGGCTTGAAATGCCTTCACCAATGTTCGCGTCTGGTTGAAGTTGCAGGCTCTGGTGGCCTGTGTTCTTCAAGGTTCTTTAAGGTATATCTTCCGATATCCTCCTGAAAGGAGTGCTTATTTCTGATATTTCCGTGGAATTTCACTCCTAACTAAAATAA